CCCTGTTTTGCTGCTGGCCATGGCAGTGCCAGCAGCACAGTCCCTGTTTTGGTGCTGGCCATGGCAGTGCCAGCACAGCCCCTGGTTTGGTGCTGGCTGTGTGGCAGTGGCAGCACAGTCCCTGTTTTGGTGCTGGGTGCAGAGTTGCTGTTTTGGTGCTGCCCGTGGCAGTGGCAGCAGCAGCCCGGGCTCACCTCCTCGCGCAGCTTGCGGATCAGCTCAGTGTCGTTGTGGTGGGTTTTGATCACCTCAGCCTTGTCGCTGGCCACCAGGGAAGCGCTCTCGATCAGGTCAGGCCTCAGGGTGCCCTGAGCAAGGAACACCTCCTCGGGTTTCAGGTTCATCTCCCCGATGACCTCGTTGGCAATCTGCAGCAGGGGCACAAAGAGACAGAGTTCCGGCACTTTTGGGGCTCTCAAAGGTCTCAAGAATGAATGAATTTTACAGCAGGGAGCTGGAAAAGCACAACCAACCAGCAAACTCATGATGTCACTGTCCCACTGCTGAAACACTCCTGTAACCCCATCTTGTGTTGAGCAGAAAATGGAGAAAACACCCCCAGAGCACAGGAACATCAGTGCCTGGTTAAATATTCTCCCTGTCTTTCTTCTAGGGTCATCCACAGCTCACACAAGCACCCACTAATTAAACACCACCAGCACTGATTAAACACTGAAAGATGCACCCAGGAATCACAGTATTTAAAAACTTCAGCCAAACAACAAGTAAACATTACCTTAACAAAGGTGTCACCGATAATTTTCCTCTTTTCTTCGGGACTCGTAGTCATATTTAAGGTCTTGCTAATTCTTTTACGTGGAGTTCTGTCCTCATCTGAGATGGGCAGAGTCGTTGTGCCATTATAGAATGAATGGGCTGCATTCACCACTGCAGGAAACCACAGGGAGTTTTTGGGGTTTTTACAAAATCAATGAAGATTTTTGTGCAGGTTACAAAATAGAAGCTTCACTTTATTGCTTAAAAAAAAAAAAACCCAAAAAATAAAACCAATTTCCTTTGACTATTAACTGCATTGAAGAGGGCTGCTCAATACCTCAAAAATTAATTTTAACAAATGCCTTTTATTTCTCTTATTAACCTATTATTTTTCTCCATATTGTGAGATCAAGCAGCCACATGCAAGTCCAGTTCTTGCTTCCCTCTCAGATTATAATTTACTTGCTTTAAACAGTTTACAGACAGTGTTTCCCCAAGGCCTTTCTGCAACCCAAATTAAATGATGCACTATTCACTCATGCTACATTATGCCACTTAATTCAGAGAGGCTCCCGACCCAGAGATCAGCTGGGAGGCTCTCTGGCATCCTTCACCAGCACTGAACTCCCTGACCTACACAAGGAGCACTTGCAGCAAAGGGATTCCCTCAATTTGCTCCTCTGGCTGCCTGCCAGAGCCCAGGTTTATTGCTCCACAGACTGCAAGAATAAGACATGGATTTTCCACTAAAAAAAAAAAAATAAAGAAAAATGTAGAAAAATGTGTTTAGAATGCAGCTGAGGACACTGCAGCCCAGGCTGCACTGTGCCAGTGGGAAGCACTGCACAGTGCCACGACACAGGAGAGCCCCTGGGCAAGGCAGGGAGCCCCAGGAGAGGCAGCTGTGGCTCAGGAGTTCACCAGGCAGCACAAACTTGGTCTTCTCTGACCTCCTCACACCTGAGGTACCTCTGAGCCTTCTCATCAGCCACATCAGGGCACCGTCTGCTCTCTCAGGAACTCCTTCACAGAATCAAAAAGGTTGGAAAAGACCTCCCAGACCATTAAGTGCAGCCTTTGATCAAGAGACCTTGTTCTCAAAAAGTCACTCCAAATCCATTAAAATGCACCTCTTTCAAAGCAAGAAAAAATGCTTTGAGAGTCATTTTGCCTATGGTAGCATTCAGTCACCCAAATGAGCTCACAGCTGACAAAGAGACAGACTCAGGATAAGGAAAGGATAAGGATAAGGAAGCCCAAAGTGTTAATCAGGATACTGGAGAAAATGGAAATGCAGTGAGCTCTGCAGCAGCTAAACAGGATCAGAGAAATGACCAAGGCACAAATCCACTGCTCTGCTGTGCCCCACCTGCACACACACCAACATTTAATGAGATGGGGCAGCTCACTGTGTGCTCCCATCAAGGAAACCAGGCCTAACACTCCAGGTTTAAATTCTGTGCTCAGGTTCAGGTGGCTCCACATCACCAACCTCGCCTCGGTACCAGAGTCTGGAACAGCAGCTCAACAAACCCAACCCTAGGGGCAGGTTCTGGGGAAACCACCACAAGTGGCAGTGAGGGAAGGAGCAGGGAGCAGGAGGAGGTACCTTTGACGTGGATGCCCAGCTTCCTGAGGGCCTCCTCCACGGCCTGGCTCTCCCTCTTGCGCATGAAGCCGTTGTCGATGTGCACGGCGATGACCTGCTCGCGGTTCAGCGCGCGGTTCAGCAGCGCCGTGCACACCGTGGAGTCCACGCCGCCGCTGAGCAGCACCTGAGGGACACACACAGCCTGGCACACCCTGCCACAGCCGGCCTGCGGGCAGGGGGTCAGCACAGCACCCACCTGCAGTGAACACAGCTCCCAGGAGGGTGAACATGGCACCCACCTGCAGTGAACACACACTGCCCCAGCTGCGCCATGTCACACACATCTTTTATGAAAAATCCTCTCCTCAGGATTTTTCCTCCTGAGAAGCTTGGAGGCCTCAGGAACAAAATGTAAGCAATGGTTATCTGCTGCTGTGGAATGCAACAGGTGCATCTGGGATTGGTCTCATGTGGTTGTTTCCAATTAATGACCAATCACTGTCCAGCTGTCTGGACTCTGTCTGAGCCACAAGCCTTTGTTATCAGTCTTTCTTTTTCTATTCTTAGCCAGCCTTCTGATGAAATCCTTCTATTCTTTTAGTATAGTTTTAATGTAATATATACAGTAAAATAATAAAAGAGCCTTCAGAAACATGGAGTCGGATCCTCATCTCTCCCCTCATCCTCAGACCCCTGAGAACACGGTCACAGCGCGACTCCCTCAAAACCTGAGCGTGCAGCACCCAAACCACCACAACTCCCCACACCAACCCCAGCCAGTGCAAACCAGCCCCCAGCTGTGTCCCCACTCACCAGGACCTTTGAGGAGCCCACTTTGTCCTTGATGTCCTGGATGCACTGGAGCTCCCTGTTCTGCACGGTGAAGGTGCCGCTGCAGCCCGCGATGTCGTAGAGGAAATTCTTCAGGATCATCTTCCCGTTCACAGTGAGGCTCACCTCGGGGTGGAACTGTGCTCCATACAGCTTTTTAGACTCGTTTGCTATGCCTGGCACACATGACAAAACAAAAATAACTGAGCTGGAACCGAATAGCCAAGCAGGAGACTCAAAGTGGCTCTTTGGGATTGGCAACTCCAGCAGCTTTCAAACCCCAAATTCTAACGTCCCACAATCTCCTGTGACAATCTCTGTGTGATGTTAAAGCTCTGCTCTCAGTACCTACATTACTCCTGCTCAGTTGAACATTCATGCAATATTAAAAACAGTAACAAGTTAATAAAGTTTTAATAATTAAACAGTGCCTGACCTGTACTGTGACAGTGCACAGCCCAAACCCCACTGGCACTGCACATCACAGTGCAGGTCCCCTCTCCCCTGCCTTAAGGGCACAGGAGATTTTATTTCTAAGACAATCAACACATGCATGCCTTAAAACAATATAAACTGTATAAATAATGTTAACTTTAACCACATTTAAATCAGGACCATTCCTTTGAAAGTCTATTTCTTTATAATCATGGCAGCTTGACATACAATCACACTCCAGAAATTGTTAAAATCAATCCATTTATTTGGCAATCAAATAACAAGGGCTATTACTCTGTTCCCATTTAGTTCTAACGCCTGTCTGCCATAATTCTTTACCAAACACTATCAGAAGACAAATTCAGGATAAAATAAATACCTGCTATGATGTTCCCAGACTGTGCCACCACTTTGAATCCATCAGCCACTTTATCCACGCTATCTCCATGAGTGAGGAGCACTAGCTCTTCCTTCTGAAGGCCTCTAAACCAGGATTAAAAACCAGAATCAATTCAAGGAAGAACAAAGCCCTAACTCTGTGCCTTTATGAGAGATGCCCTGAGGGATTCCAACAAAAGCACATCTCCACAGACGGAGCAGGACATCTGAAATGTCTGCAGGATTTCCTCCCAGGAACAGCCATCTGCAGCTCTGAGATGCCTCCTGGGAAGCTGCCCAAGTCTCTGTCCAACACACCCCTCCTGCAGGAGGGAACTGATCCTGATTCTGAAGGGTTTGTGGGTTTCTCCTTACACACACCCCAGGACTGAGGTCCCCTCTGGGACAAGGGGAGCCACCTGGACACAGTCAGGATAATGGGAGTCTTGCTTTTTATTTCAACAAAGTGAACTTCTCTTGTTCAAAACTAGGTGTTTTCAGGGCAATCCGGGCACATCAGACAGCTCTGCAGGGGCCCTACAGAAGGAAGATAATAAAACTGGAACACCAGGAAGGAGTAAACTGTCAGACTTTTCACAAGGAACTTGAAGGCCATCCACAAAATTATCAAGAAATCTAATTCTGGTTTATAAAACATCACAAAGCAGTTTTAAAGGAAGGTAGAAGAGGAATAGGTTTGGATTTTCTGTGCCCTTTCCAAAAATGGATGGGCACCCACAAATACAAGAGCAGTGCACAGCAGCAGACAAGAGCTTAACTCAAATATTGTCAGATCATGGTGCACTTACAGTGTCTCAGTGAAGGCTCTGAAATAAGGAGTTTATACAATATTCCCAGCAAATACACCTGCTTTTTTAGAGCCAATTGGAAAGTTATCCCTAAGTATTTGTTTCAGTCAGTAACCTGCTTGTTTGTGACCACACTTGTAGAAGTTTTATTAGAAATTATCAGCTAATTGCACTGTTTAAAAAAAAAAAAACCAAAAACCTTCCTCTCATGCAGACAGCCCTTCCCAGGCTGACAGTGCTTTGATAAGTGGAAATGTGTGTGCACCTGAAGAGTGAGCAGGTGTTGTCCAGGGTGATGCTGAACACTCCGTCCTCCCGAACGCTCTTCTTGTGCACCGTGCCTCCAAACACCTTGTTCATCATCTGAGAGCAAAGGGAGCCATGAGAAAACACCCCACCCTCACCTCCAAACACCTTGTTCATCATCTGAGAGCA